CTGATTTATTTTCTTCATAATATTTATCACCATCTGAACTGTATCATTTTTAGTTATTGTTTGTCTCAACTAGTTGGATGCAGACTCCTTAAGGGCAGGGACCTTATCTGTGTAGTTCATTTTCTTTTTGAAATATATTTTTATTGATTTCAGAGAGGAACAGAGGAGAGACAGAAACATCGATGAGAGATAATCATGGATCGGCTGCCTCCTGCACGGGGATAGAGCCTGCAACCCAGGCATGTGCCCTGACCCGGAATCTAACTGGCAACCTCCTGGTTCATGGGTCGATGCTCAACCACTGAGCCACGCCGGCTAGGCTGTAGCACTGTCTACTGTTTAATAGGCACTCAATAAATACTTATTGTGGGAGGAGAGAAGGGTAGGGGTTGGAGAAATACACATTTAGAAGGAAGAGGGTGTTTTAATTACTTAAATTTTGTACTAAAAACCCATCCACTATTGCCCAGAGAAATAATACAAAAAGCAAAGCAGTAATTTCTGCTGGCCAATTTGGTCAGAACTTACCTTTGCTTCAGGTGTTACTACTGGCTTTGGCGGAAACTGTACTTCAGTAGCTTTAAGAATAGTATTTTCTTGCAGAATGTCTTGCTGGGACTGGTTATGGCCAAAAGGCTGTCATATAAAAATAAAAATAAACAAAGGTGGGCCTCTGGTTAAAACAAAAGAGAACAATTCAAAATTCCTGGGAGGAGCAGAGAAGACACCTTAAGAATTGCTATAGGGGCCGAAACCGTTTAGAGCATCAGCCTGCGGACTGAAAGGTCCCAGGTTCGATTCCGGTCAAGGGCATGTACCTGGGTTGCAGACACATCCCCAGTAGGAGATGTGCAGGAGGCAGCTGATCGATGTTTCTAACTATCTCTCTCCCTTCCTCTCTGAAAATAATCAATAAAATATATATATATAAAAAAAAAAAAGAATTGCTATAGGGAACTTTGGAGATAATCTCCTTGAACTCTCTCATTTTTTAAAAAATATATTTTATTGATTTCAGAGAGGAAAGGAGAGGGGGAGAGAGAAACATCAATGATGAGAGAGAATCATCGATCGGCTGCCTCCTGCACGCCCCCCACTGGGGATCGAGCCCGCAACCCAGGCATGTGCCCTTGGCTGGAATCGAACCCAGGACCCCTCAGTCCGCAGGCCGACGCTCTGTCCACTGAGCCAAACCAGGTAGGGCATGAACTCTCTCATTTTTATAGATAAAGGGTGCAGAAGGCTGAGAGCTTAAATGACTTGCTCACAGTCCAACATCTAGGTTAAGGCAGAGTTGAAACCAGGGGCAGATCTGCTGTGTCATCCTCTGCTAAGCTTTGCTTACAGCAAAGAAAAAGAAGATACAGAGAGGGAACCAGCAACCTCTTTTGCCCTCAGTGATACCTGCGGGCTTAAGCAATACATGTGACACTAGCAGGCCCAAGACACAGATAAAAAGAGATAGAAAAGTGAAAGAGTAGAAGGGGTAAGGCCAGACTTGGGGGAGGGGAAAAAAAAACTAAACAGGCCCTAGACAGTTTTGCTCAGTGGATAGAGCATCGGCCTGTGGACTGAAGGATCCAGGGTTCGATTCCAGTCAAGGGCACATGCCTGGGTTACGGGCTTGGTCCCTAGTTGGGGGGCATGCAGGAGGCAGCCGATGGGTGGTTTTCTCTCATCACTGATGTTTCTATCTCTCTCCCTTCCTCTTTGAAATCAATAAAAATATATTTTTAAAAACAACAGAATTGGGGCTACTTAGCGGCTTTATCTGTGCCTCAAACTGCCATTTTCTAGTAAACTCTGAAAAATTAGGTTAAGTCCTAGTGTCACTTCTACAGTGTTTCTACTTATAGATCACAAAACAACTCTTCCTGAATAACCTCTGCCACTACTCCCGGCAGCACTTCCACATTACCAGAGTAAAAATGATAAATAACCCCTCCTAGTTTGGGTTAGAGAAGTGGGATAAACAAAGAAAACAAGAAGCTAAAGAGGAAGCTGAAATCTAAATTAAGAGCTCAGCACCTCCACATTACCGGAGTATAAGTGATAATTAACCCCTCCTAGTTCTGAATAGCTTCCTGATTAGAGAAGTGGGATAAATAAACAAAGAAATCAAGAAGTTAAAGAGCAAGCTGAAAGCTGAATTAAAAGTTCAACACTTCCACATTATCAGAATATAAGTACTGTAATAATTAACCCCTCCTAGTACTGAGTAGCTTCCCAACTACAGAAGTGGAGTAAAGAAAGAAAACAGGAAGTTAAAAAGGAAGTTAAAAGGAGCTCGGTCTGGGGATTGTAATGAAAATACTAAGAGTCCAGGAGAGTTGCAGAACTCCCAAATGGCTTATACCCACAGCCTGAGGAGAGCACTGAAACATGTGGACACACTGACAGCAGAAATAGGAGTAGAAATACACAGCTGGATCCTAATACATACATTTATAAGACAGTGTGCTCACAAGGAAAAAACAAGTGTGAAAATTCATTAGGTTATACTTTACTACCTAGGTTATTACTTGTTCTAATGATATGTCACTTTGATCAGAAGTAACAGACAATGAATACTTTCTGACACCACCTCCCAGTATAGAAATATAAAGCATGCTTTTATTAATAATAGCTTTAACTACTGGGGTGGTTGGGAATAAAAGGGCCTGCCAATATTTCAAGTTTCAAGTTTGGGGACCCTTAAGAATGGCTCCTGGGAAGATTGTATACTTTAATAAACTATTTCACATAATTCCCTATAGCATATTATTAGAACCAAAACATATCCTGGATCTAACTGAGAACAGCAAAGAATACATGTTTCCACATGAGTCCCAGCAGGATTCATTAAGTGTTCGAGGGTCGAAAATTTCTGCTTATACATAAAGCTATTATTATTCTGTATTTTGTTCAAACCACAACTTTCAAGATTCCGTTTTGTATAATCCAATGATTAACTCCAAGAGAATAATCCACACCATACCATTCTGTACATGTACCACCCAAGACAGAAGTCAAGCCAAAACATCTGACCGTCTTCCTTACCTTCCTTCCATAAAGACACTGGTAGAAGATCACACCCACTGACCAGACATCAACTTTATTTGAGATCTTTGGTGGTTCTTTCCCAACCACAAAACACTCTGGTGGTAAATACCTGGGAAAAGAGGGAAATAAGAATTCTCAGAAAAGTGACTGTATAAATCTAAGACATGTACAGACAAAGGTAAATACCTTGTTGGAAATGAAAATATCTGAATTTTAACAGCTGAAAAAGCAACTTAGACCTAGCTGGAGAAAGTTGATGAAAAGACACTCTAAAATAAAAAGGCAGTAATGTCCTATGAAAACTTAAAATACATTTCTCTACTCACTGAGAGAGGTAAATATTCTCTCTGGTTCCTATTTCACCCACTCCAGCCTCCTTTCCCAGGGTTGTCCCTAATATAAGTAATCATTCAACAAAGGTTTAAGGGGTGGGGCATAAATGATGTGCACTCCCTTTTATAAGAGCTGCATCAATATAACCAGAGGTGGTGTCGGTTTCCTTTCATGTTGGCTGAAGGTGTTGGTAAAATAACTATTTTAAAAGTCCCAATGATTTCAGGACCCAGAAGAAATCTCTGAGGAGAATGGCTCTCTTCTTAATGTAGCTTCTTTGGGTAATCTGGACTGGAAATAACTACAATATATAATCAATAGTGGCACCGAAGTCCCTATTATCAAAAGATATTTTACTAATAATAAAATAGTATTATTAGTAAATAATAATTATTTGCTAATAATTTAGCAAAATATTTCCCACTTTAAAGGTGATCAGGGAATTACTAGAAGACTAACAGTGCAAAAAAAGCTAAACAAACTAGTTGTTAGAACAACTCAATCCTCATCTGAATTCCTTCCCTCCCCATCCACCCCTGGCCTCTAAAAAGACTAGCTGGACAGCCAACCACACCATACTGTATGGTACGGAAGGTAAGTACCTCTTGGCATTTAGGAAACCAAACAAATATGCTTCTACTCATTGCCTGGAGTCTTAGCCATGGCACAGCTGGAAGGTGGAATTCTATAGATAACAGATTGATTTCTGCAGATTTCATGCTGGCAAAATCAATCTGTGAAAAACTATTTTAAAGCTTGCTATGCTTTGGTATAAAAATCTAAATTTTAGCTTGAAGGGGACCACAAGAGTTGAGAGGCAGAAAATGTTCAGATGATGGGCTTTCTTCTTTTTTAAAAAGTTTAGTTTCATGTTGTTTCTCATTTATTATTTTTAACAGACATTTTTGGATGATTAAGACCACTGGCCTAGATTACTATTTCACAATAAAAATTTTTAGCCAAAACACACATTGAGAAATGAAAATACAGATATGGAACTCACAAATGGGGGGGCGGGGGGGGGGGAATGGCACAGAAACAATATAGAAAAAATAATTTATTTTAAAAACAGCTCGCCCTAGCTGGTTTGGTTCAGTGGATAGAGCGTAGGCCTGTGGACTGAAGGGCCCCGGGTTCAATTCTGGCCAAGGGCACATACCTGGGTTGCGGGCTCGATCCCCAGTGCGGGGCATGCAGGAGGCAGCTGATCAATGATTCTTTCTCATCACTGATGTTTCTCTCTCTCCCTTTCCCTTCCTCTCTGAAATCAATAAAAATATATATTTTAAAAAATAAAAATAAAAACAGCTATTCCAAGTGCTAAAATCGTCCCTTTTTCATGGTTCTTGACTCTTTAACACATAAAACAAATATGATATTAGATATATAACAAATAGAATTTTTATTCTAAATGATCATTTTAATGTATTTATAACTTTTTTGTGGAGGTGGTGGGGAAGAACAGAAGTTGTTGAACTTGTCCATATGAAGAGTAATAATTTAGCAAAATATTTAGAATACAAAAGACATTGCCACTCAACAGAAGTCTGGCAAATCACTTTCTAGGTCTCAGTTTCCTCCATCTGTAAATGAAGAAATAAACTAGTTCTTCCCCCAAATACTGAAAATAATAAGCATTCTGATTCCCTATCAAGGACTTTGGGAGTAAGAGTTGATGACAGTTTTATAACACTACACTAAAAATTAAAAAACAACAACATAAAACATAGCTGCATATTCCATGATGATATAATCCTCCGAGAAAAATGACCCTTAAGGCCTAGTCAACAGGTCACTTACTTAAAAGTAGTATTCAATGTAGAATAATTCTAGAACAACCAAATACCATATAGTCACTTAGAATTATGTCCTCCTTTCTATTTGTAGCTCTCTGGGACATTATAGAGGATGATCTATTGAGGATGGTGATTATGACAATGTTTCTATCAATATGGAGACTTTTAAAACTTTCATAGAAACCCTTAACATTTAATTTTCTCAGTAGCTCCTCTCTACCTTGCTTTTTACTATTAAACCCAGAAAATACCTCAAATATAACCAAAAGTAGAAAGAATAGTAAAATGAACCCCCAAGTAATCGTCATCTAACTTTAGTATCTACCAACACTCAGTGAATCCTTATTCATATATATCCCTCTCCACTTCTCAGATTGGCTTGAAGCAAATCCCAAGCACTATATAATTTTTATTTAAATTCCAACCACTGACTTTTTATAGCTTAGCAAATATAGCAATAAGTAGCAATGAGAAAACTAACTAAACGTGAAAAGGCTCCACCTTTTAAAAAAACACATTATCAAACAAAGAGCTCAAATTTTAAGTTCCAGGGAATTTATACAGCAGAGGTATAGATCTGTTTCCAAAATTTCCAACAGCAGATATTTCTGTATCATTTAGTGACAGGAACACTAACCCACAATAACCACCATAGTGAATAAACACTGTAACTGTAGCTTCTATTTTAAACCTGGAATCTCAAAAGTTTTAATTAGTGACTAATTTTCACGATAGATACTACCTCCACAACAATGAGAAACATTAGAAATTTTGTGAGATTTTTTAAAGCAGGATTTGACTGGTTCTTTAATGCACATAACTTAAATATGATCAGACTGATGAAAACAGAGTCGATCCTGCATGTTGTAAAAGATATTCCCCTGCTCTTCTCTGCTTCAGATCAACACCTTCATTCCCAGACAGTCACTAACTATTCTTTAGTCTCAAACATAAGTGATCTACCAACTGACACTGGGGTTTAACAGCACGTGTTACCCATCCCTTTGTGCTGCTACTAGAAGATTCCTTCATGTTCAGAATCACACAGATGTGAAAAGGCAGTCTGTTAACACACATTTACAAAAATAAAGTTAAATGCCTGAGCTGTAGGTATCTTGCATGGTTCTCACTGTCAAAAGTTACATTAGGCAGAAGCAGGATGGTCACAGAACAGGCAGCTGGGTAGGGTGGATGGGGAGAGATGAGTGACAATAGAGGGGAAAAAACGTGGCTCAAAACTTTTTAGAACGTGGCTGAGAGATGGATAAATTTCTTGGCAAACTGCAAACTTTTTCCTGTTTAGATGTTAAGGGTTGCTTTTTACATCCTGATTACATACTGATCTTTATAATTTCTTAGTTCTTGAGAATCCATCATCCTCGGGCAACCCTGGAAACAAATCCTTCAGCCCATTAACCCCTGAAGAGAGAGACCTGCATTTGTACTGAAAAGAATTTAGGGCCATTCCTGATACACAAATGAGCAACCTCTTTCTCTACCTACTCACTAGGGTCAACCCTACAGAGGGAAACACACAACTCATCCACCTGGCCACACAGAATCTCTCTCTCAATGATTTTCAAGAAAGGAAAGAAATATTAAGATATAAATATAAGAGTCAAACTGCTGAAAAGACAGTAACTTTTGGGGAGGAAAATCTGCTTTGGTTTATATTTATAGTATTATTGCCCAAGCAGAAAGCATGTAGATATTAACTATTAATTATAAACACTTCAGTATAGCACAGCCACACCACCAGCCAACCTGACAGATCTCCCAGATACCTACCAATAAGTACCAGCACCTTGTGACGTGAGCTCCATGCCATCCACTGAATTGTAGCTATCATCATCCATGATCTTGGAAAGACCAAAATCTGTGATTTTTATCTCTCCACATGCTGTACCATTTACTAAAAGAATATTACCTAAAAAGATAAAAATCTTCATGAATAAAAAGAGACTTACTAATTAAGAGAAAAAGCCAAGGTAATAACAGACAAGAAGGAGACAACTGAACTCAAACTCCTGCACGCAATACCAAACATCTCAATCCCCAGAATAAAATGAGATCTGGGCTCTGAATGCGGGGGAAGAGTCCTCAGTGTCTGGCTGCAAACTTCTATTTTCCAAGAATCACCTGCGTACTATGCTAAAACCACCACTGTGAGCAGTGGGAATAAATTATAACTCGCCAAAGTAAAATATCACTTGTACAGCTGGTCAAAAATTGTGGGAAAAGTTTCATCTGAACTATCAGTCAAGATCTCTAAACCACGGTGTTTAGAACATTCATTTGGGGAGGGAGGGGCTGTCAAAGAAAACATACAAGGGACTCAAAGATAGTACCACAGTGCCACCTACAGCTCCTAAGGCAGGAAAATGTATTGGATTCAGTGATGGAAAACCCGATCACACAATGGCCATTCTTTTAAAAAAGCACTTCATTGTAATGGATTTTTTAGTCATGTGAACTGTATTAGAATATTAAAGCATAGTGAATCGTGAGAGTTAATATGCAGCTACCAGAAGAGGAAAGCAAGCTTTACCACTGTGCCACACCAGGAGGTAAATGGGAATCCCCTTCCTAACACCAAAGCTAAGCTGGTTGGAGCTGTCCACAGAGAACACATGCAGACGTCAACAAAGAGTAGAGGCAAGAAGTCCAACTACCCTCTACTTTTTGCTGATGACTATCCAAGTTAGATAGTAACCATACAAAAAGATGGAAAACTCTGTTCGGAATTTAATGTGCAAAATCAGTTGTTAATTTTTGAGCACGTTTCAGAGAGACCTGGAGTGGAGGAACTGCTATGCCGTGTGAGTAATGGGAAAAACACAGCGGGGCAGTTCTTTCCTAATCGGGCTGACATCAGGAACTGCCTGGGCTCTAAAGACAGGGCATTGTTTCTCCGAGCGTTATCAGGACCCACCCTCCTAAACCCAGTGCTTCGTGGCCAGGGCTCTTCTATTCCCACACCTACTCAAGCAAACTAAAGTCAGATGGTTTTATAGCCTTCTTGGCTCCTGCCAAATTCTCTCACTTTATAAAATTAAGTCATTTATAAGACCAAAGAAAAGCCACCAATACTGTCTCCTAAAAGTTAGACATACCTGGTTTGAGGTCATAGTGTATGATGGGAGGTTTTATTTCATTTAAGTACTTTAAAGCATTCACAATCTGCATGATAATGGATCGGGCCTCTTTCTCCGACATTAATTTGTGCTGTTTCAGGTAGAAGTCCAGATCATTTCCCTCACAGTATTCTAATACTGTACAAAACCTAAAGACAAATAAACCAACATTTGACTGCGAGATGAGAGCAAGCAGATTAAGACTAACTAAACCAGTCCCAGTGAAAACTTCAGGTAATTAGCTTCTCCTTCCTTCTTTGTTCCTTTAAAAAAAAACCCAAAAAACTCTTCTATTCTTTATTCAGTATTAGCTACTTGAGTGGGCAGAGGAAGAAACCGCTTACTCTCTTGGTGAGGAGCCTCCAACCCCCCACATTGGAATCTGTTGAGCTAAATAAAGCTCACACGTGGACACCTCAACTGCAATGTATTTAAGGTAGGTATCTTTTTGAAAGGGTCTCCTTTACATATACAAGCTACACCCCATTTCTAAACAAGCATATGTGATCAAATACACAGTTCTCACTACAAATATTTTCAGACCCGGACAGTGAGGAAAAATCTCAGGTTTGCCCGGGTCCCAAGGACTGACTGCAAACCATGCCTCCTGATAGTTTCACACAATACGGTACTACCATTTCTCTTTGCTAAACAAAAGGTATAAAAGAGCTTTGTAAAGTACAGTATCTGTGGTTCTAACAAATGTGTTATTACATAGTATGAGTTTTCTTCCTTCACTTATATCAATACATTAAACAGACCCAAATTTAAAATTGCATGTGTTTATCTTTGAAGGCAATTATAAACTTAAGTAAGGCATCCTGAACTGTTTGAGTAGTCCTGATAAGAACACCTATTAAACAATTGACAATATGGTTGTATGACCCAGGGTCTAGTCAGGAAATAAAAATCACTTGAGTATTTAAAACAGAGAGGCTTTAATTCAGGGAACTGAACACATAGATGATGAAAGACCTGAGACGACAACTGGCCAGTGAGGTCCCCCAGAGATCATCTAGAGCAGGAAGCCATTAGCACCCTAAGGCCAGAGGGCCAGAGGGAGATGGTGCAACCAGAACCCAGGGTCACCAAGGGAAAGTGGAACCACAATGAGAGAGGGGTGTCCTCTATCCCCCACCATCTCTGTCTCCCTGTTGGCTGAACCCAGCTGAACAACAACTGACACACAAACACAGCCTGCAAGGGCCAACACACCTAAGATGCAGAACAGGGGAAGAATGAGCAGACAAGAGAACAAACAAACTCAGGACTAAATCTACGGGCCGCCGGGCAATTTGAAGCCTCCAAAATGCAATGCAATGCAATGTAATGTGGATATACATAGCCCTGTGGGATCCCAAACTGAACAACAGCTTTATGCTCCTTGTGAAACATACTAGGGCATGCTAGCACCCTATTTGAGAATTTTTGAAATTTGTAGATTCTCTGAACTGAAACCAGAAATCTGAGATATGGATTCTCATGCTTAGTTGATTTATTCTTTGATCCAAATGCAAGGTAAAAATAAAATCTCATTTTTAACACTCAAACAACTCATAGAGGTCTTTCTTTTTATTTTTTGTATTAGACATTTTATTTTAAAAAAAGGAAATGTATTATAACCTAAAATAGATTACATAACATATATAGTATATATTTAAATCTTTAAAATATTTTTGTGTCTAGGTTCAGTTCTTCTAAAATGCTGGTCTGACTTACTGTTGATGAAAATTCATCATACACACAATAGGAAGAACAAAGTAAACAACTCAAGAATAGCACAGATTCAACTCAATTTCTCAGATAAGTTTAAAGTATGTATGCAATTCAAAACAGCAGATAATCAAAGTCGCATATTTATTATCTTTGTACTTATTATTTTTGTACTTATGTTTTGGGGAGTAGGAGTGAGGGTCCTATCTAGTGTTCAAGGGATTTACTCAAAACAAAACAGTAAAGCCACCCTGTGGAGACCTGCTCTCTACCTAGATATTTTTCTCAATCCCAATCCATGCTAAACACACCTGGCTATGCCACAAGGGCCACCTACTGGAAACGGGAAATCCCAGAGATGATAGCTTATGTTCCCAAATGGAATTGTGGTCTCTTTTTGAGGTCACTTCTAAATGTGCGTTGGTTCTCTGTATAGCAATTTCTGAGATAGTTGCTGTCTGAACAGGCCAAAACTCCTAAAATTACTCTGGGGGTCTAAGAGGAATACCTGCAAACCATACCCAGAATATGTCCTCCTGACTCAGTTCAAACTTCTACAAAGAAAATGTTTCCAAATGCTGAAACATTTCTCAACTGCTGGATAAACCCAGAGGTAGTACTAGAGCAGTGATGGCGAACCTTTTGAGCTCGGTGTGTTAGCATTTTGAAAAACCCTAACTTAACTCTGGTGCCGTGTCACATATAGAAATTTTTTTATATTTGCAACCATAGTAAAACAAAGACTTATATTTTTGACATTTATTTTATATATTAAATGCCATCTAACAAAGAAAAATCAACCAAAAAAATGAGTTCGCGTGTCACCTCTGACACGCGTGTCATAGGTTCGCCATCACTGTACTAGAGCTTATCTATACCTGGTAATGAAATAACAATATTCAAAATTATTAAAGATCTTAGACAACTTCTGATTCTCAAATCTCCACATATAAAATGAGAAGGCTGAACTGAGATCCCTCCCAATTCTTTATAACATCTTACAAAGCTATGAACCTATATTTTAACACTTTTAAAAGGTCTGTCAGTGTTCATCAGTCTCCAGGGTGGGGTGGAGACGTGATTGAACAGTCCACACTCACTGGTGCATGTAAGTGGGATGCTAGCACCAATTTGTGTCAGATTCTGAGAGCTGATAGTTAAATTTCCAGGAATTTTGTGAGCTGGGTATTAAGCCACAGGTAAAATACATGGATAAACAAAAGGCAGTTATGGCCAAACAGAATATATCTGGTCATAAAAAGGAAGTTCTGATACATGACACAAAAAGGATAAACCTTGAAAAAAAGTCATACTAAGTAAAAAGCCAGTCACAAAAGCCCACACCTAAACGATTCATTCACATGAAAGTCCAGAATAGGAACTCTATAGAGTCAGAAAGTGGATTAGTGGTTGCTTAGGGCTGGGGGTAGGAGGTGGAGAAATAGGGAGATGATAACAAAGGTACAAGGTTTCTTTTTGAGGTGATTAAAATTGACTATGAAGATGGTGGTGCATTCTGTGAATATACTAAAAACCACTGAATTGATTATACACTTTAAAATAGCAATATTCAACCGGTGTGCCATAAGAATTTTAAAAACATGCAATACCTGACTATTTAGTCTGGGGCACTGACCTCTTTTCCCTTAGATTGTCAAATAAAAAGATGACAACAGCCAACACAATAGCTGTTGGGTATGAATCAAAATTATACCTATTTTTAAATGTCAGATCGGCAAAAATATATTTTGGTGTACCACAGAATTTTAGTAGTTTATGTGTGAAATGAGAAAAAGGTTGAAAACTGCTGCTTTAAAAGAGTGAACTACATGGTAAATAAGTTATATTCCAATAAACTGTGTATGTCTAATTGCTAACTTGAAACTGGATATGTTGAGAGTATTTATAACACAGAAATTGGCAAATATTACAAATTATCCCCATCTTTCTCCCCACCAAGCTGGATGTTAAACATTTATAGCACCAACAGCACACATCCTGTGGCCAAGAAATGTCTTAATTCCCATACAACCATTTTCCCATAAATAAATATATTTGGTTCCCTCAAAGTGTTTTTCTTAGGCCCAGATTTAAACTCTATTCCACGAGCAGTCAACACACTACAAGAAAACAGTATTAATTACTAAGCTGAAATGGTGCAGCACTTACGAGTCCGTGTCCAGTGAAAAGTAATCGTACAGCTTAACTATTCTGGGATGATCCAGTTCTTTGTGAATCCGGTACTCCCTACATGCATGCCTGTAAATAAAATGGAAAATTAACATTTGCATTCTGGCTTGTCTTTTAGAACTCATCAAGGATAATCCTAAATATTTTCTTATTTCTCTATTGTTTCTACCTATTCATTCAGATCCATCTGGTTCCCTTATCTTTCCTCATCCTATTTTCTCTACTAGTATCTACCAAGCTGTTGAGAAAATAGTAGGTACTCAAATATTTGTTGAATGAATGGCTTTTCATCCTTTCAAAAGTTCATTCAGCTGAAACCAGTTTGACTCAGTGGATAGAGCGTCGGCCGGCAGACTGAAAGGTCCCAGGTTCGATTCCAGTCGAGGGCATGTACCTGGGTTGCGGGCACATCCCCAGTAGGAGATGTGCAGGAGGCAGCTGATCGATGTTTCTCTCTCATTGATGTTTCTAACTCTCTCTCTCTCTCTCTCCCCCTTCCTCTGTAAAAAATCAATAAAATATATTTTTTTAAAAAAGTTCATTCAGTGACAATCTTACTTCTTTTATTTAAAAATTATAAAGACAGTGTTTTCCTCTTCTAAAGCTGATACTTCATATCTATAAATGTTTATATCCTGGTGTTACATCAAGGGGAGCAATTAGCATTAAACTCCTTGGGTAAAAGGATTATTGGTTATATAAGGCAATTAGCAGCGCTTCCTATGTTTTTTAATCTTACTCCTTACAAAAAGGATTTAAAAGGCTATCAGCTTTACTTTCTTCTAAGAAAATGTGAAATTATGGAAACCCCAGTTTTTTGGGAACAAGAATTTAAATATGTTAAGAGTTTTTATTTAGCCAAACCGGTTTGGCTCAGTGGATAGAGCATCGGCCTGCGGACTGAAAGGTTCCAGGTTCGATTCCGGTCAAGGGCATGTACCTTGGTTGCGGGCACATCCCCAGTAGGAGGTGTGCGGGAGGCAGCTGGTCGATGTTTCTCTCTCATTGATGTTTCTAACTCTCTATCCCTCTCCCTTCCTCTCTGTAAAAAATCAATAAAATATATTTAAAAAAAAAAGAGTTTTTATTTAGTACTTTTCCAATTTAGAAGCATTTAATAAGATTAGGAACACAAATGTATTATATATTAGGACATATTCATACACTGAATTTTAAAATAATAATAGAACATGTTTATACAATATAATTACAAATAATTTTTATTTAGTTTTTATTTACAAAGAATAGCAGGAAATTATATTTTAAGTAACCTAGCACCATTTAGTTTGGGGCATTTTGTTATAAGGCAAGAGTTATTAAAGAAAACTTTTCCATAGTATGGTAACACACACACACACACACACACACACACACACCAAAAAAAAACCCCCAAAACTAAAGAAGTGGTATTTTCTGAAACTGGTGTATTCCAACAGAAAGTTGAGAAAAGAATTGGCGGGGAGGAAGAGGGGGACTGAAATCCAAATGTATATATATATAAAATATATTTTCCCCCAATGGAAACTATTGGACTAGGCTTATTTTTCAAGCTGCCACTTCTGGCAGTTTTTGCTTCTTTTGATGCTTCATTTCATCATCTTTATCTCTCTCTGAAAAGAAAGACTTGCCACACTTAGAGTAGCATTAGAACAGCTGCTACCCTGGGACCAAGACACCTGGATTGAGTCTGGGCTTGGTGACCCTATCTCACTGGGTTTCACCACCACTGTACTGGACTGACAGCTTTAACAGAGGCTCCCTGGAAATCCATGCCTCCGGAGCCTCTGTGGAGATTCTGAGCAAAGAAGGTGGCTTTGGCCCAACTCCCCATTCCACCAAAGCAGCTCCACACGTATCCTTTTTCATATATCAAGAAATATGAAAAATGTGAAGTATTTCATTTGGTTAAAAAAAAAAAAGGAAATGCTGTTCAAAAAACAAACTAGTTTAAGCCTTGGTCAGTCGCTCAGTGGTTAGAGCATGGGCCCCGCAGACCGAAAGGTATCGAGTTCAACTCCTGGCGGGGACACGTACCTAGGTTGTAGGTTTCAAGCCCTGGTTGGAGCTCATGCAGGAGACAACCAATTCATGTGTGACTCTCTCACATTAATGTTTCTCTCTCTCTGCTCTCCCTCCTTCCCTTCCATTCTCTCTAAAAACCAATGGAGAAAATATCCTCGGGTGAGGATTAAAACAAACAAAAAACAAGCTTAGAAACCTATGGACTAAATAGATATCTGTTCAAGTCATTTTTTTACTCTAGCATACTGTAAATCCATAGTTCCCTGCACTTTTAATGTTTTGATTTTGTGCATTTCAGAGTAGAGACCAATTTCTCTGTCAAGGTACAGAAAACAGAAGAAACGAATGGAGGCAAAAATTAAGAATCAAAGGAAGTGTCATTCAAACTCCTCACTAACTATGGGAATTTGCTGTGTGTCACTGAAAGCTCTCCCTCAAGGTCACATCAGGCTCTAGGCCTGCTTCTCATGCTTCATCAGGCAAGGCAGTGGCTCTGCCATGGCCCTCATATTTCAACTTAGCATCCAAGGGATTAATGCACCATAAATACAGAAACTTTACTAAGAAACTTATCCACTGAAGTGTTAATCTTTGACTCTCTTACAAGTGGATATATATTTAGACTTTCAAAATTATGTTATCCTAGAAGATTAGAAAAGAGTATCTTACAAGAGTATACTAATTAAAATGCAATTATTTCTGCAGAAAGCTTTATATGAAATTGTCCTACTATAGGGTTTTTAATATATTATGTTGGGGCATTAAAGAAATCTAGTAATACCTATTAATGCATTTAGTAATGCAAAAGTAAAACAATCAGTTTACTTTTTGTTTGTGCGTAAGGAGGAGAGGAAAGGAGGTGCAGAATATAACTCAACATTAAAAACAACAGCCTTTTACTTTCTTTGATTTTTTTCCTTCTTTTTTAGCCAAAATAAATGTCTGATTCCAATTGGGACTGGAAAGTCATCCATATGAAAGGAAAAGCAATTGGAAGACCTACTTTGCAGGGTTAGAGTAGCATTTTCATCTTTTATAATATTACCACAACACTACTTTTTAGTTTAATACTGAATTTTTAAAGCACTCTCTAAAATCTGTTATGTGCTTGACATAAACCTCTTTCTTTCTCCTCTTGATATAGTTTGTAATTTTATATAAACCTCTTTAAGGTCAAAGAAATTAATGACATTTTGCTAATTCATTATTCTCTATAGCCTGAAATTCATCAATGTGATTTTATATCACTTAGCAAGCAAGCAATATCTTCCAAAGAAGGTGGAAATGCTTAAGAATTTTCCCCAAAGGGTGAAGAAGGTCATAATAACTTTGCACACCCTCTCCCCAGTGTCAACCAGGAAATGGCCACTACCCAGGCGGCTCCACAGAGGTGGTCCGGCATGCTGATTCCCACCTCTGATGAGGAAACAAAGTGTAGGAAGGCACAACTGTGAGCCTGAGCTGGGCCAGTAAAGAGCTAAGAAACATAAGACAAACCCCTCCACTTGCTCTCTGACTCTGTCTGAAAGAGAAATGTGAGAAAGACAACCAATTCATACCTACCAGGACTTGCCCAATGTATCAAGGGTCCAGGGGTCCTCAAACTTTTTAAACAGGGGGCCAGTTCACTGTACCTCAGACCGTTGGAGGGCTGGACTATAGTTTAAAAAAAAACTATGAACAAATTCCTATGCACACTGCACATATCTTATTTTGAAGTAAAAAAAACAAAACGGGAACAAATACAATATTTGTATTTGCATGTGGCCCGTGGGCCATAGTTTGAGGATCCCTGAGGTACACAGTCCTGGCTTCAATACCTCACTGTTTCAAACCGCTGGGGTGTGAACACCTATTGGAGTTCTCTTTAAGGTCAGCCTAGAAGCTGGATACTGAGACTAGGCAAAATATGTACAGATCCTAGCACAGGAACTATCTTCTTGAGAAGACAGTCTTGGTTGACCTTGGTCTTGGCTGACCAAAGTTGATCCCTTGTAGAGTCAATTGGTTTAGAGTGGTCAGTACATACATGACAGCTGGAGGATATTTTAAAAGAGGGGCATATATTGTTCCAACACTTTTAGGCACCCTGAGGGTCTCAATATAATGGGGACATTTCTCATTTATAACTGGTCAGAACGACATGTGGTTTCCTTCTCTAAAGTGCTCCTGGCACTCACTGAAGATCGCAATTCATCCCTGCACGTCAAGCAACTGGAATGTACTCCTAATAATGTAACTGCTCCTCAGAAGCATCTGGACTGCAGCTGCCTGTCACGTAAGATACACACAGGACGCCATGCATGAACCACACACAACCCCCTCTCCTACCTCTGCTAAGCCCTCTCTCTCTCACTACCACAGGGACATTCTCTTCCCCAGGGCCAAGAGCCATTGCCAATCTGCATGGAATAGGAAGAGTTCCTGGATCTCCAGTGAACAATAGGTATAAAGCAAGAGTTGCCTTGGTCCATGTATGAAGAAGTGGTTGATAATGTAGAAATGTTTATTTTTCCCTTTAAGATTTAGAAGCCAACTAACAGGCTACTTTAAAGTCCACTGTTTTTCCCCCTTCAAAGAACTATTTATAAGAAAAAAAACCCAAAACTGTTTGGAGAAAGGAGGAGGGTTCTTTATATCAAAAGAGGCCATCTCACTGAGTCGGCGTGGCTCAGTGGCTTAGCGTCAACCTATTGAGCAAGAGATCAAGGTTCGATTCCTACTCAGGGCACATGCCCGGGTTGCAGGCTCGATCCCCAGTGAGGGGCATGCAGGAGGCAGCCAATCAATGATTCTTTCTCATCATTGATGTTCCTCTCCTTACCTCCCTCCATCCCTCCCACCCTCTCTGAAATCAATAAAAAAGTTTTTTGTTTTGTTTTTTGTTTTTAAAAAGAAAAGAGGCCGTCTCCTTCTTTCAGGGGTAAAACATGTCTAACTCAGTACCTGTACCTACAACAAGGAAACAACATTGAGCACAGTGGGAATCTTAATAGCAAATTGATTCTGTGTGGCCTCCAATGTTCTGAAGCTCAGAGGAAACAAGCATAACCTGACATTAGTGGGACAAAGAAGTTGACAGCTGCACATATAATGACTAGTCCTTCTAAAGAAGGCACCCCCGGACCCCAAGTGCAGATGAGGGCCACCACTAGTGGCATTCTGGAGGTAAGCACAGTAAATGGGACACTTAAGATCAAGAACGTGAAGACCGACAAACTATGCCGGGGGAGGTGAGCACAGCACTGAGGAGCAGAACAAGCCAAACAAGTACCACTGAGCACACCAGGTCCCTGTCTCCCCTCTGCCTGTCTCCTCCATAAGGAAATGACGGCAGCAGCTAAAAAAGCCCCACCAGTCACCTCCCAGGGTCTCCCAACCACTAAAGGACACTCTCCTCTGGTTTCTATAGAAAAGCAACAAGCCTATTTCTGAGGCTTTGTTTATTGTAGCTAATTTTATACAAGACAATGGAAAGGGAGGTAAAGAGCATGGGCTTTGCCGTAGCCGGTTTGGCTCAGTGGATAGAGCGTTGGCCTGCGGACTGAAGGGTCCCAGGTTCGATTCTGGTCAAGGGCATGTACCTTGGTCGCGGGCACATCCCCAGTAGAGGGAGTGCGGGAGGCAGCTGGTCGATGTTTCTCTCTCATTGATGATTCTAACTCTATCCCTCTCCCTTTCTCTCTGTAAAAAATTAATAAAATATATTAAAAAAAAAAAAAAAAGAGCACGGGCTTTGGATGAAGGGAAGTCTAGATTTAAATACCATCTCAGCCATTTCTTTTTTTTTCCTTTCAAAGTTAATTCTTTTTTTTCTTTTTTTTTTTTTTATTTTATTGATTTTTTACAGAGAGGAAGGGAGAGAGATAGAGAGTTAGAAACATCGATGAGAGAGAAACATCGATCAGCTGCCTCCTGCACATCTCCTACTAGGGATATGCCCGCAACCCAGGCACATGCCCTCGACCGGAATCGAACCTGGGACCCTTCAGTCCGCAGGCTGACGCTCTATCCACTGAGCCAAACTGGTTTTGGCTCAAAGTTAATTCTTTATTGTTGAAAGTTTTACATATGTAACCATTTCTTAATTGTTACTTAAATTCTCCTGTGTCAGTCCTCATCAGTAAGGTGGAAAAGTTATTCTCTCCTAGGGTAGTTATAAGGATTAAATGAAACAACAATATATGGAAAGTTTTTAACACAGTGCTCAAACTTCAGCTATTATCACTAAATTTTGAAAAATCAGACACTCTAGTATCACTTACTTGTGGTAATTCTCCTTTTTTTCATCTCTCCAGTTTTTATTTAACTGGTGAATTTTCACAGCTACATATCTTTGTTCTGTTAGGTCAAATGCCTATAAAGAAAAGAAATACATTATGTTCTAGATAAAGGATAAGAATTACAGGCAACTGGTTTGAAGCTTCTATTTAACAGAACAACATACTCAAAGTCCAAGATGCATATTAAATGAAACAGCAGCAGAAGACAACACATCACATTTGTGTTTCAGAGCAGCAAGCATCTTCTTGAAACCTGTGATCAGATAATTCAGAAGTCTCCAGACACACTGGCACCAAGGGGTTTAGAACATAAAACTAAGCAAACACCACGAACAGAAAGACAGCCCATGTCTTAACAGACACTTCCAAACAATTCTCTTTCTGGGCATCATTTAATCTATTTGGGCCTTTTCTCCCTTAGACCCGTGGTCGGCAAACGGCAGCTCGCAAGCCAGATGGGGCTCTTTGGCCCCTTGAGTGTGGCTCTTCCTAAGCCTTAGGAGTACCCTAATTAAGTTAATAACAATGTACCTACCTATATAGTTTAAGTTTAAAAAATTTGGCTCTCAAAAGAAATTTCAATCGTTGTACTGTTGATATTTGGCTCTGTTGACTAATGAGTTTGCCGACCACTGTCTTAGGCCATCTCTTGTCCCTCAGCTGACAATGAGACCTGATATGCCTCAATGGCAAATCCTGCCACTTTTAAAATGCTAGGGACAGAGACTGCCTTCTTGAAAAATAACCCCTCAGAATACACTTCTTTGCTATGTGTGTTTAGAAAATAACTTTGTAATTTGCCATACTGTGTTTATTAAAATAAAAACAGAAACAAAACCAAGAAAGCAAGCTTGCCTTTAGTCCCATTCATATATGCTGAGTAAATAAAAAGCAGTTTTTGATTCCAGCAATGTCTGAAATTAGTCACACCAAGCCACTTCTCCAGCACTGCCCAAATAAAGGGACATGCTTTCCCCAGAGACCATCACTGTTGGCAAGCCCCACATCAGACAGGTAGTGCTCTATCATGGAGTAACAGGTGAGTTTTTGAGGATGTTGGGTGTAAATCACAATTTCATAAAGTAGCATTTTTATACAACAGACGACTTCCCAATACAAAAGGATTTATTGAGGAACTCCTTTAGAATGAATAGGCTTTTTTAGTTTTTAAATTTCAGATTAAAAATTTAGTACTTCAGTTCCAACATTGTTACCATCCATCTGCCAGTTTCCACAAATATATGAATGCATAAAAGCAATAGGGACAGAAACACACTCCATCAATAGTGGCGATTGCTCTACAGATCTTTTAAGATGTAAGCTACCTCTAGGAAAGCACTGCATGCAAGAGATGGCTGCTTATAAAAGAAACTTCTAATTCACACTAAATATAAACCAGTATTTTTAAAAATACGAACACTAGCCCAGCTAGTATGGCTCAGTGGTTGAGCATCAACCTATGAACCAGGAGTTCACGTTTGATACCGGGTCAGGGCCCATGTCCAGGTTGTGGACTCAATCCCCAGTGTGGGGCATGCAGAAGGCAGCCAATCAAGGATTCCCTCTCACCATTGATATTTCTCTCTCTCTCTTCCTCTCCATTCCTCTCTGAAATCAATAAAAATATATTTAAAAATCCATTCAAATAGAGTATCTTATTTCACAGAAATGGAAACTTTTGAATTCTATTTTTCCTACAGTTTGAAGTCCACCTGCAAGTATGTACCATAGCTTTACAGTAGAGAACCATTTCAAGTCATTAAAAGCCATATTAAATACCATTTAATTTGTAAGAACACTAAATGATACTACAAGTATCATTTTCTCCAACTATCACACCATATTTCTGAACCCAAGACACTGTGATCACCTCTGATTTAAGAAAGGTTTTTGGAGCGTGAAGAACAGCAAAAGAATAGCTACATTAAATGTACACATCATTGTAAGAAGCATCTAGATTTCACAAATGTTAAAATGCTTGAAGAATAAATAAGGAAAAAATAAGATAAGAAAATACTAACAAGTACTGGGAAGCACCAATAACCAATTTTGATGTTTTTTAAAAAAATGGAGGAGTCCCAATTCCGGGTATATCACCAAAAGAATTGAAAGCAGGGTCTCAGAAGAGGAGGCAACCTCCACTTTTAAGAGATACTTGCACGCCGAAACCGGTTTGGCTCAGTGGATAGAGCGTCGGCCTGCGGACTGAAGGGTCCCAGGTTCGATTCCGGTCAAGGGCATGTACCTGGGTTGCGGGCACATCTCCAGTAGGAGATGTGCAGGAGGCAGCTGGTCAATGTTTCTCTCTCATCGATGTTTCTGACTCTCTATCTCTCTCCCTTCCTCTCTGTGAAAAATCAATAAAATATATTTAAAAAAAAAAAAAAAAAGAGATACTTGCACATACATGTTCAAAACAACACTATTCATACAAGAGGGAGCAACCTAAATGTCTACTGACAAATGGGTAAAGAAAATTTGCTACATACATACAATGGAATGTTATGCAGCCCTAAAAAGGAGGAATTCTGGCACGTGCTTCAACATGGATGAACTTTGAGGATACCATGCTAAGTCTAATAAGCCAGTCACAAAAAGGAGGGTTTGGCTGGTGAATATATTAGAATCTGCAGCTATGAACTAGCTGATTTCCTCCTTTAGTAAAAATCTGCTGGAGGCATAGGAGTCTGTACTTTGCTGGCCCAATTGAAGCACTCTAAGTCAGGACCCTCCTTCAAAATGCCAGTGCTATAAACACTGACTTAGAAGATGAGAACATCAAAAAGCAGTTTTTCAAGTAAGAATTATCTGTAACATATCTATTCAGCTAAAAAAAAATTATGAGAATAAAAATCACATAATTCCACTACCCAGATATTAGTGTTGTTTTTCCTTCCGGTTTAAAAATTTTTTTATTTATTTTTTGAAACTTGAAAACGGTAAAATATTGTCTCTTGCTGAGTCACTTGAACTTTATTAAAAGCAGTTCTCCCAAAGATATAGGTTCTTAAAGTTTTAAATTTCAACCATTAGTTATCAACCCATAATTATCACTATTCTAAATGTTCTCTAAGTTGGTACTAATCAGTGATTTAACCCTTAGTCGTTTTGCTCTGTTCCTCAGACTTACCTTGTAAACTTCACTGAAACCTCCTCTACCCAAAAGATGTAACAACAAATATCTGTCATTTAACGTTGGATGATCTTTAAATCTGTGGAAACAGGGAATATATAACATACATATATAATTATTAAATTATGTAATTCAAAGATACAGCATGACTACAATGAAAAGCATTAGCTGTAGAGCCATGAGGCATAGGTGCCAGTCTCCGCATAGCCACAATCAGCCCTATGACTTCTGTTGGCCTCCCCGCTGCTTTCTGCCCTGCTATAAGATGAGGGGGTGGGCTACACTAAATGAGGGATTTTTAAGCTGCATTACTCAGTTCCTCCAAACCATTCAAGGGCCACATGCTCCCACCATTACATAACTATATACAATAAAACTCCCAGATATTTTCATGGGCTTAAAAAGAGATTTGATTATAAAGTGAGTCACATGTTCTATATGCATTCATCTTCTCTCAAAAATGCAAAAAGTCTTCATGCTGTAACTGTTTTCCCCATAAAGGATACCAGCTTGTGTTGTTCACTAAAAAAGAAATAAGAGGTTCTGGCAAAAATAACTTTAAAAATATTTCTACCTAGTTCCTGATCTTAAATAGCCCCACTAGTAATCCTGAAATTATTTTGATTTTTAAGACGACAGATTGCCTGTGGAGAGAAGTGACATTACTGTGTGATAATTAACTTTGGAAATAGACAGATCTAAGTTTAACTCTTAGTATGGGCCACTAGTTATGGGTCTCTGGTCAAGTTAACTGAATTTTTCTAAGCCTGTTTTCAGATCTATGTTTCAAAGATGACCTACCTTACCAAGTAAGTTCCTGTGAAGATTAAATGACAGAACACAAGGGCACTTAACACTATGACTGACAGAGAGAGTGCTCAATAACAGCTGTTGCTGGCACTTTACTGAACAAGGCCATGGCTCACACTGGCAAACAAAAACACACAAGTTATAGCTATGTCAAAAACTCCTGTTTCAGAGTTCAAAATATGTGGGAAGGAACGGATTACAGATAGAAGCCATTTCCCACTTGCTATCTACTTTTCACAGTTTCAGTCTCCTAAATGACTTATAAACAAAGGTGGGCATTTATCTAAATGAATGTGCTGAACTTAACAGAGTCTTGCTTAAAATCTCAATGGCCAAATGGCTCTTAAAGGTCATTCAGAAACCAGGTGTCAATTCAATAATCTTTCCACAACACCACTCTGTCACCCATTCTTTCCTTTTGTAAGGCTCTGTAGGTAAATCTAAACAGGAAGTGTATCCTAACCATTTAGACTATAAATCTATATTGTTTTAGTGACCTCTATGGGGAAATATACTACATGTATAGGTATATGTTTAATATATAAATCTAGTATTTTTATATATATTTAAACTAAAGCAAATCATTATTTTGTTCATAAAACTGTATTACACCCTACAATAGAACCAAATACAGCATGGAATCAATTTACCAAATTTATATTAATCAAAACATCATTCTAGAACAGCAATTTTCAACCTTTTTCATCTCATGGCATACACAAACTGATTACTAAAATTCTGCAGCACACCAAAAAGTACATTTTACCGATCTGAAATAAAATAGGTATAATTTTGATTTATTCACACCAGACAGCTATTGTTGTGTTGGCTGTTGTTATTTTTTTATTTGACAATCTAAGAGGTCAGTGCCCCTGACTAAATAGTCAGGTATTGCCTGTTTTAAAAATTCTTGTGGCACACCGGTTGAAAATCACTGTTCTAATGCATGTCAGAAAGTGCTCAGCAGTCTTTAAGCCAGTATACCCCCAACTTGCTTACTGTGAATTATCTTCATTATGTATCCTTTTTAGTTCCCTGATATGTAGATTTCTAACCCTTTCTAGCCTTTCCAGCTCTGCCTGGATCTCCGCTTCCTCCTAAAGTAAAAAGGAAAGAAGTAGCTCAGAACACAAGAAATGTTACCTTTCCAGAATCTCATTTCAAAAACAGCATCAGACAGCTCTCTCATGAAAAGCTAAATCAAGATGTTTTGCATTAAAAAATATTTTTTAAAAGAACTAGACTTTTTGTCATAAAAACCAAGCCTATAACAAAATAATAAATAAAATTCAAACTATACAAAGGATTACAGTAGAAAAAGTAAGAGTCCTCTGCCCCTTGCTCCCTCCCCTCTAGACCACTCCTCAGATGTAACTGCTGTTAAGATTCTTATGTAAAGTTTTTAGGAACGTTTTGTGCATGTACATATAGATATGCAATCTTTTTTAAAACAAAAACCAGGTCCTTTGTCTGGTTCTGTTCTGCAAGTATGGATTATACTTGGTGTTTTAAGTTTTACTGATTTAACAAGATCTGAGAATCCAGTGGGGAAAAAACAAACACGTACCAATAGCAGTTTATTAAAATGCTTATTGACCACCATCACTGTAAGCAGCACCCACCAAAAATGTATGAGCTGCTGAATTAAAAAGATGAGCAATCTACATCTAAGATGCTTCTGTGAACATCGCCAATAACAAATTCTGTGTAGATGCCTTTGTGTTACAAGGTTGATATAACCTTCTCTTCTTAGCCAGTTTAGGCAAAAGATAAGAGCTGCTATGTGATTTAAAATATCATGAGATTTCTGCAGGTACGTGAAACCAATACATTTGCCCAAATAACCAACTTATTTCCACACTAAATGTAAACTAAAAATCGCATTTCTGGGGATGGGGAGAGTTGGGGGGGTGGGGGTGGGGGGGGCGTGTAAAAGAAAAAAAGAAAAAAAAATTGCATTTCTCATTATATTTACCTTTTTAAGATGACCTAATCTGAGTTTGAAGATTTCTTCTTGTTCATGGTATTCTGCTAATGTTAACCTGGAAAATAATGGTAGAAATTTCGATAAATTATTTGAAATCATAGTGCATATATTTAAAGAGAAATGCCAAAGTATGTTATACAGTATAATTAGTCTGTTAAAACGGCTAAAAGACAGTTTATCTTGCAGTCAATCCTTAGACACAAGAAAACTTCTGTGATTTAGCAGATGTGATGTGAAAGAAGGACTTCAAAGGCAGAAGTCTAAATTGTAAAAAATGAAAAAATAAATAATGTGCTATAATTTTACATTATTTATAACATTAGTTTTGTCCCAAACATTACTCAGATGAGAATCCTTTAGGAGAGGTAGCCAAAAATTATGTTTAAAGTGTTTTAAAGGGCAAAATAATAGCCAATGGATCTGCTTATTTTTAACAACTCTTAGACTTTGATACTATAATAACAAAGGGAAGAACGTCTAGAATCTGGAGTTTGAGGGCTAAGGTTCAAAGTGCAACTTGGGTCATGTGACCTTGGGCAAGCAACTTTAACCTCTTGAGTCTCAGTTTCCTAAAAATGCAGCAAGTAATAATACCTATCTAACAAAAGTGTTGTGACTATTAAATGAGAATGTGAAAAGAATGTATAATTTGTAAAATGCCATTTAAACAAAATTCTCAAAGGGCTGACTTGATGGGTAATCACTTGTTCATTTCATGTTCCACCTACTCCATTCACATGCTCATGTTTCAAGAGTAAGCATGTAAGATACTGCTCCATCTTCACCCTCTTCACATTCTGAATGCATACACATATAATTCAAAGTTTTAGATGTCCCTGTTCAGATATATTCTAACTAGCAGTAGAAAGAAGAAACAGCTATCCTATCAACCAGGAAGGGCTACAAAAAGAGCCTTTGAGGTCTGACTAAAAGAAAATAAGAGAGTAAAAAGAAGAAACACATCTAATAGAAGAATTATGCCTATCTCTTCATAATTGCAGAAATACTTATATCCATTACTTTATATCACACTAGTAAAAAAAAGGAAGAGCCCTGGTCAGATGGCTCAGGTGGTTTGATTCCCGGTCAGGGCACACACCTAGTTTGTAGGTTTGATACTCTGAGGCAACCAATTGAGATCTCATTCTCTCAAAATCAGTAAGAAAAAAATATCCGTGGGTGATGATTAAAAATAAAAATGGGAACCTGGCTGGTATGGCTCAGTGGTTGAACCAGGAAGTAATGGTTCGATTCTGGTCAGGGGGCCATGCCTGCGTTGCAGGCTTGATCCCCAGTGTGGGGTATGCAGGAGGCAGCCAATCAATGATTCTCTCTCCCTCTCCCTTCTTCTCTCAGAAATCAATAAAAATATATTTTTAAAAAATAATAAAACAATAAAAAAGGGAGAAAAGAATGCTTTCTCTGCCTGAAATAGGTTTGATACCAGGAAAGGATAATATGACTCACTCCAAGACTCCAGAAGACTGTTTTTGGCTTCTGGCCCAAGGAATGAGCCAAGTCTCATCCTCTAATTAAAAACTGGACCGAATGCCTTCCAGCTTGGATTTTACACAGAACTCCAGATGGCAACTATTTATTCACATACTACTGACCTAGACTAAATTCTAATTATTGTTCTATGGAAAGGAAATAACCTATGCTGCCACCTTCTTCTTTTTCTTCTTCTTTTTTTTTTTTGCCTATGCTTTCTTTATACTCCTAACCCAATGGCTTTATGCACTAGAGTTAAATAATTTTCAAGGTATATTGGAGGAAGAGTCCCTTCACAAAATAAATACACGAAAGAAGACAATCATCACATTAACGTGTGCAATATTTGCCTGGAGAATCTTTCAAATTTGGGCTCTTATTTTCATTTTTTTAAAGGAAATATTTTTTAGTTTTAGTTTTAAAATATTCAGAGCTATAACAGTGAAGATGTTTTCCAAGCTTATTCATTATGCATATTTTTATAACTATACTTAATGTAATTATTAACTTAATCATCTGTTCATTTTCCTTAAATAAACTGAACTGCTATGGCTGGGGCTGTATCCTTTAGCTCTGTATCCCCAGTGTCCAGACCTGAGCTGAGTATATAATAAGCACTTAACATAGACTTACTAAATGAATGTCAAAGGAAACACTCCCCAATATGTCAGGTAGTATGGGGTGAGGATTGCTGTTAAGCAATCTTTCTCACTGGATTGAAGATACATTTCTGGAATGTCATGGACTTTTAACAATGGTGTAATACAAATATTATACCTGAGGGCGTTTATGGGTTAATATGTTTTTGTGAACTGATATGAAAACATAAAAGGCAAAAGACATATCAATTAATAAATCATACAATATTATTATATGCTATTTGTGGCTATCTTTAGACCTGAAACTTATTTTCAATTAAAGAACCCCACAATGACAGCTTTACAAAAATTCTTTTCCCCCTGAAAAACCAATGTAGCCACTATAAGTACACTGATTACAACAACAGCAATGACTGATTCTATAAAAAAATATATATTTTTTAAATTTCAAATCTCCAATTCAGAAACCAACTTTACGGCTACCATCAATTCTTTAGATATTTATTGCCTACACTATTGTCTGTAGAGCTTTGGTTTTCCTTTTTAATTTGAAAGCCTCTTAACAACAGTTGATGACTTAAATGTATTCAGGGTAAGCATAAGAAATATTCTAAATAGGTAAGTAAATATAGATTTTATTTCCCACACAAATTCTAACTATTTGGTAGTTCCTGTCCAGTTGGCAAACTACATACAGCCAGCGGGCCATTCAGTCCACAGTTTCTTTTTGTAAATAAAGTGTTACTGGAACACAGCCACACCTATTCATTTACGTATTATCTAGGGCTGCTTTTGGGCTACTCTGTTGAGTATTTGCAACAGAAAATCTCTAGCTTGCAAAGCCTAAAATATTTACTATCTGGCCCATTAAAGAAAAAGTTTGTCAACTCCTGTCCCAGAGGAAGATTCTCTTCGGGTTTAGAATTCAATGATCAAAGAGGGAACTCTGACATGAGATGGGGGTGAACAAGGAAGCTATCTGTGCTCAGGATATCCTACCCTTCCTATGTACTAATTGTTGACTGGCAGTGAAAAGAAGATGCAATTTAAGATACTGGTGTTTTCCTTAGGTACCCCAGAACAAGAAAATACTGTGATAACAAGATTTAGCTTATTGGGAAAATGTCCTTTTCCTAAAATAATACCTATTTTTTCTGAGCTTATTCCTAAGTTTGTGGCTGTTAACAAGTGCTCTTTAAACACAAAACAAACCCTCCCCCACCCCCCCAAAAAAACCCACACAAAAACCCCCCACGTGCTCTTTAGACAATAAAGACCATTTTTCAGTTGTGCATTCTTCAGTCTGAAATAGTAGCCAGGTAACCCCCATAAGACGATACCAATCTAGAGCCAAGCACACATAAGCAATTATATCCTTTGAATACCACAACAACATCACATCCTATATAATAAGAGAAACATGTAAATTGACTGTCCCTCTGCTACGCTCACCAGCCAATCAGGAGTGAGTATGCAAATTAACCTGACAAAGATGGTGGGTTAATTTGCATACACAGGCGCCAGGTGGAGAGCAGAGCAGGACAGCCCAAGGCTTGGGGGGATGTGGCTCCCTCCAAGCCGCTGGGCAGAGAGCAGACCGGGAGAGCCAGCAGAGAATGGAGCAGCTTGGGGAACTTGACTCCCCAAGCCACCAGACGGAGAGCAGAGAGGGAGAGTTGACAGGCTGGAGGACTTGGCAGAGTGGGAGCTGTGGGACGGAGACAGAGTAGGAAGGGAAAACCAAGAGCGCAGGGAGCACCAGGAATTCTGCGAATAGTAGTTCTGGTGGCAGCCCCAGGACCTGAAGTGGAAGCCCAGAGTGCAGGGAGCACCAGGAATGCTGGGAATCATAGTTCTGGTGGCAGACGGATCTCCTAGACCAGCGGTTCTCAACCTGTGGGTTGCGACCCTTTGGGGGTCGAACAACCCTTTCACAGGGGTTGCCTAAGACCATTGGAAAACACATATATAATTACATATTGTTTTTGTGATTAATCACTATGCTTTAATTATGTTCAATTTGTAATAATGAAATTGGGGGTCACCACAACATGAGGAACTGTATTAAAGGGTCGCGGCATTAGGAAGGTTGAGAACCACTGCACTAGAGCAAAGTGAGCCTGGAGCAAGTTACTGTTGCGGTGGGGGATGGAGGGAAAGCAAAGGTGAGAGACATAAGTAAAATCAGTGTCTAGGAAAAATTAAAGGGAAGATATCCTAAAACTTCCAGGAAATTTCCACCAATGAAGCAAAGCAAAAAAAAAAAAAAGCCTCTATTATTCTGTGAGCAACAAACCAAACTGGGTTGGCGGTCTCAGATAATTCGCTCATATGATTGCAAAGACAGAAACTCCCGAGGGCTCCCCTGAGGGCTCCCAGATTGGAGAGGGTGCAGGTTGGGCTGAAGGACCCACCCCCAGTGCACAAATTTTCGTGCACCGGGCCCCTAATTTGTTATAACAGTGGCCAAAGATCATGATGTCAAGTTAAGTGACATTACTTTTCCTTCTCACTCAAAACTTCCTAAATAAGATCAAGCTAAAAATATTAGCTACCTTTATATGACTTGAGCAAATCCATTAATGTAGCCAAAAACAAAGCTTAAGGTCTAGAAATCTCCATAATTTATCAATTTTTTCCAGTGGCATTCAATAGTTTTGTGTTTTAGGGGAGAGAGTGGTATCTCATATCAATAAAGAACATACGTTTCATTTTCAGCTCCATTGGTCTTGCTTTTCCGCTGTTTCTGCTCATTGGTTGCTGGAGGGGCCTGTCCCATGGCAGGAGGTTTCCGCTTTGCTAACATTTTCCGCTGTCTTTCAATTTCTTCCCTCTGTGAATTTATCCTTTCCTGCTGCCTAGAGATATAAAAGATGTGGCACAAAGAAAGAAGGTAAAAAAAAAAATTAACATGGCTAGAGAACACACACAAATATCTTTGTCACCTGCATATTTAATAGACTTCAGAAAATAACCCCCTTTAAATCAAGTAGAGATTTGATTTTAACTTCTGTTTGAAAGAGCCAAATAATTGACAGAAAGATTTATTTAGAAAGAGTCTGCGCCGAAACTGGTTTGGCTCAATGGATAGAGCGTCGGCCTGTGGACTGAAAGGTCCCAGGTTCGATTCCGGTCAAGGGCATGTACCTGGGTTGCGGGCACATCCCCAGTGGGAAATGTGCAGGAGGCAGCTGATCGATGTTTCTCTCTCATTGATGTTTCTAACTCTCTATCTCTCTCCCTTCCTCTCTGTAAAAAAATCAATAAAATATATTTAAAAAAAAAAAAAAAAAAAAAAAAAGAAAGAATCTGCTTTAAGACACTAGTTATGATTATTTTCAGAGTAGAAAAGTGGGCAGGAAGGAAAATGATCAAATTTCTACTGTGACCTCATTTTCTGACTAAAAAGAATTTTCCCAGAAGAGGTCACTAGTAAATAAATAAATAAATAAATAAATAAATAAATAAATAAAAATAAAAAGAATTTTCCGATACCTTTTTAAAAGTTAAGAAAACAGCTCTAAGTCATTCCAACTCACTGATACAGTGAAACCTATACTAAGTACCTTCAGAAAAAGCACAATGAAGCCTTGTAAGTAGTAAAAACTCCCTCAGATATGGTACATTAAATGAATAAAAAACATAAAGATTCCAGACATCTAACATCATTAGACTATTTCCTAACAAGATGTCTAATTTTTCTAAACAAGTTTACAATTTAAAAGTCAATAAAAATACCAATATAAGAAAATCACGCCCTAGCTGGTTTGGCCCGGTGGATAGAGCGTCAGCTTGTGGACTGAAGGGTCCCAGGTTCGATTTCAGTCAAGGGCACATGCCTGGGTTGCGGGCTCGATCCCCAGTGGGGGGCGTGCAGGAGGCAGCCGATCAATGATTCTCTCTCATCATTGATATTTCTAGCTCTCTCTCCCTCTTCCTTCCTCTCTGAAATCAATAAAAATATATGTTTAAAAAAAAGAAAATCACTTTCTCTTATGAGTCCCACCACCTAACAAATATTAAGGTTTATAGACTTGATATGTAAAAATATACCAAGATTTGGGTTTAGTTAACATACTAAACTCTTTAAATTACCGGTCATAGTTGACAGTCAAATGCTAGATATGCTTTCCCCATCTCTTTTTTTTATCAAATCTTCATTTTTGTAGAATGACAATCTATTTTTTAACCTATTCTCAAATGAAATCTCTTCTACCCTCTTCCCTGAACACAGCAGTTGTCAGTCCCTATACAACTTTTCCAGATTCAGTATATTTATTTAGAAAGAGTCTGCTTTAAGACACTAGTTATGATTATTTCCATTCTTGGAAGAGTGGCGACCAGAAAAAAAAAGACTATGCTCCAGGGAGGGCAATACTTTAAACAAGGTTAAACTAATCTGAGCACTGAAAGTAACTAACCATCTGATAATATAATTCCTTTGCTGGATCACTGATTAGATATCAATTTAACAGCAGAATTGACATTTTAATTAAAGAGTTTTCTGCTTGTCTGAAAAAAATCTTTTAACTATCATTGGAGGTATGCTCCCCCTTCCAAAATATATGTATAAAATCATTTGTGGTTTAAAAAATTTCTGGATTAAGACACAGAATCTTTAGGTAAAATCACAGTCTTCCTTCTGACTCAATGAACATCCTTTTTTTTTTTTTTTTTTTTTAATATATTTTATTGATTTTTCACAGAGAGGAAGGGAGAGAGATAGAAAGTTAGAAACATCGATGAGAGAGAAACATCGATCAGCTGCCTCCCGCACATCTCCCACTGGGGATGTGCCCGCAACCCAGGTACATGCCCTTGACCGGAATCGAACCTGGGACCTTTCAGTCCGCAGGCCAACGCTCTAACCACTGAGCCAAACCGGTTTCGGCTAAGGGAAATAATTTACCTTCTCTGAACATGAGTTTCCTAATCAAAAAATTGGTAAAAATACATCTTTAGCTCATTTCTCCCCTTTCAGGGGCCATGAGTACAAGGTACTCTGAACTTTCTGGAGATAACCAGACAATATCTAATTTAAACTATCAACTATAGTGGGAGAATCACTCAACCTCCACAGATTACCAGCCCCACAGTCAACATATATATAAACCATAAACAAAGGGTAGCATACTGATGCCAAGACATCTTTGGAGCATCTTAAACTGTACAAAATAAGAATAAGAGAGCTTGCCTTGACATGAAAATTGATGTAGCAGAGATCAATCTATGCTAATAATAGGGTAATATACAAATTGGTTGGGACGCCGTCACAGTAACGGAAGCGGGGCCGCACGGCAGAGAGTCCTCTCCGTGCACCTGTGCCAGGGTCCACAGGCGCGTGGAGAGGCCCCTCCACTGTGGGCCTGGCCTGGGGGCGGGTCCATGGAGGTCTGCAGGCCTCCGCCGTGGTCCGGCCTGGGGGCAGGGCTGCGGCAGGGGCCTCTGTGCGCCTGCGCCGGGGGTCCGCAGGCCTCCGCCGTGGCCCGGCCCGGCAGTCCGCAGGCCTTCCCCAGCTCCAGCCTACCTCTTTGGGGCAATCCATCTAGGAGCCCCGGATGGATGGGTGGGGCCTACCTCTTTGGGGCAATGGATCACAGGGCACAGGCCAGGCTAGGGTAGCCCCCTCCCATCCCTGCCCGAATTTTGTGCACCACACCACTAGTGTTATATGTAATAAGGATTCCTACATTAATTCCTGATGTTCTTAAAACTACTTACCTATTAATACTTACAAATAAAAGTTATCTAAAGATAGTCTATCAGTGATACTCATTATGATTTATTTTGAGAGTACAAAGTCTGGATTATGTCAATAAACTATAAATTCTCTTAGAACAAGAACCATGTCTTATCAACCCTTCTACTTCCAACACATATGACAATGCCTTTATACAGTTGAGCCTTAAATATTTCTTGCATGCCATCAATTTTAGAGTGTTCGATCTTCATCACCCATGGAAAGAGTATTTTCCACCATCTTTTACAAAAGTATTGATGACCTAATAAATCCATCTCACTCAAATCTAAATAACCCTATTTCAAAAGTCATTGCCTATAAAAGAAAACAAGATAATCAGTCTTTGGCACCACTATGGGTTGAACTGTGTCATATAAAATATATGTGAAAGTCCTCACCCACAGTACCTCAGATTATGACCTTTGTAAATAGAGTCACTGGAGATGCATTTAGTTAAAATGAGGTCATAGTGGAGTAGGGTGGGCCCTAATTCCAATATGACTGCTGTTTTTACATGAAGAGAAGAGAAGACACAGAGACACATGGGGGAACAGAATGTGAAGATGGAGGCAGAGGTTGAAGTAGCTATGCTGCCACAGCCAGAGAACACCAAAGAAGGATCCTCCCTAGCGGCTTCAGAGGGTAGAAGAAATTTCATTTGAGAATTGGTAAAAAAAATCCCAACAGATTCTGTCCTTCTACAAAAAACAAGTTTGGCCTCCTGAACTGTGAGAGAATAAATTTGTTTTGAACCACCAGTTTATGGTATTTTGTTACAGTAGCCCAAAGAAAAGAATACAGGCACCTTCAACAACAAAACTGTTATTTCAGACTCCAACCATATTACATATAAACAAGCAGGAGGCAGTAAAGAACAATGCACATTTCCACCAAAAAATTTTTAAGCAGTGCTCTATAGATAGCACCTAAATATACCAAATACAAATTTTTAAAGATTCCCAGGATTTCTTATGTTCTACTAGAGGCCCAATGCACAAAATGCATGCAAGAGTAGGTCTTCCGCCCTGGCCGGTTTGGCTCAGTGGATAGAGTGTCGGCCTGCGGACTGAAGGGTCCCAGGTTCGATTCTGGCCAAGGGCACATGTCTGGGTTGTGGGCTCGATCCCCAGTAGGGGGCATGCAGGAGGCAGCTGATCAATGATTCTCTCATCATTGATGTTTCTCTCTCTCCCCCTTCCTCTCTGAAATCAATAAAGAATTTTTTTTTTTTTTAAAGTAGGCCTTCCTTCCCACGGCTGCCAGCACCGGCTTCCCTCTGGCACCCAGGCTTCCCTCGCAGCCCCAGCTTTGTCTAGAAGGTCATCCGGAAGGACGTCCAGTCTAATTAGCATATTATGCTTTTATTAATATAGATATCTACTGGGAACTGTGAAATGCACTACCCAAGGGAGAAGCTACAAAATGCCAAAGAAGGATCCTCTCTAGAGTCTTCAAAGGGAGTACGCTCCTGGCAACACCTTGTTTCAAATTTCTGGCAATTTTAATTTTTTTAAGCTTTAATGTAAAACTCATTTTGATTCCTTTGATCACTTGTTTAATTTTCTCAGGATTTTCCCTACATTTTTTAACACATGTGATGGCTAAAACTGACTGAAAAGATGACTATCACTAACTACTAGAATTATTAATGACTACAATTACAGAAAACTTAAAAAATACAAACCAAGTTGTCAATTCTCAATTTAATCATCACAAATTAACTTACTTGATAAGGTTCTGGAAAGCATAACCATCTGTCCATTGTTCAGTAAAAGAGGCCCCGTGTCGGACAGTGGTAAAGTGGCCCAATCTCAAGCGGTCTTGCATGCTCTTATCTCTACATGCCATCTTCTCTTGTTTTGACTTAGAAGAACAAACAGAAAATAATTTCATTTTCCTATGAGAACTCATATATAGCATTATGTTTATTTTTTGTACTATACTGTGCAAAGTTTAGTACAACTGACTAAATTTACATTGACCTTAGGAAGTAAGCTAAAACTTTAAATAAATTCTCTACATTAACATCTACCTTATCATAAAAATGGAAAAAAAGCGGTTTCCTTATTATAAAATTAGTAAATTAAAAGATGAAGCAGTCCTGGCTGGTTCTGCTCAGTGATTAGAGTATGGGCTCACAGACCAAAGAGTCTCAGGTTCGATTTCCAGTCAAAGTCATGTACCATTGTTATAGGTTTCCCCAACCCTGGTAGGGGGCCATGCAGGAGGCAACCAATCCATGTTTCTTTCTCATGTCAATGTTTCTCTCTCTCTCCCCCTCCTCCCTCCCTTCCAATCTCTCTAGAAATCAATGGAAAAAATATCCTCAGGTAAGGATTACAAGTAATAATAAAAAAATAAAAGATGAAGCAAAATTTCCCAGTATCTTTGACATCAGCATAATCACTTCACTTTTATCACTGCTCCCTGTCATTTTAACAACATCCCAAAGATTTTAAGCACAAGTAACCAGGTTGCCTCAAACCTGTACCTTGTAATAATTTCATTAGTAAGTTCTGCCATCTTAAAGCTTTCAATGTAAGATAAATAAGTACTGGGAATGTAATAAAAAAAAAACTTTCAAAAAGAAGTTACTAATAACTATTAAAAGCAAGTTGCAATTAATCACATACAAGGATATACCAACATAATTATTTTACAAAACAAAACACTTAATTATAACATTATTATATATGTACATTACTCCAAATACCATCTCTGAAATGGAAACTAATTATTGTTAAATGTTTGTAATAGAATCCACACTTCAACAGATAGATAAAAATAAGAATTAAGGCCCAACCAGGTAAGCTCAGCTATAGCATTGTCCTGATATGCCAAGGTGTGGGGTGTGGGTTCAATCCCCGATCAGAGTATATACAAGAATCAACTAATGAGTGCATGGATAGGTGGAAAAACAAATCTCTCTCTCTCTCTCTCTCTCTCTCTCTCTCTCTCTCTCTCTCTCTCTCCCCTCTCTCTAATCAATAAATTAAAATTTAAATAAATAAAAGAATTTAGGGAATCAACATCTCAAATAAACTCAACTAGGACAAGCTGTTTCTGTCCAATCAACATCACACGCAAAGCAATGCAAAACCAAAAAGCAGAAAGAATGTCCCAAATTATAACTCTGGATGCTTGGTTCACGTATCCAAACAAGAAAGAATTTTAATTATCAAACAATAAGTCTTTTCCTAAAAAGCCCTAGTTTGAAATATTTTCATCCCAGGTAAGGAGTAAGGACCCACAACGACACACACTGAGCACCTTGGGATACGTAGTATCCTGGCTGCCTTTCACCACTCACCTTTTCTATAAGGAGTTTCTTGCTCATTGTCACACATCGATTTAATCGTTCTTTGTATTTCTCTAGCATCTTTTGCTGTTCATCAATCTGCCGTCTCAAATCACAGTTGGCCTTCAATGGAAAACAACATTTTACCTCCAAGGAAGAACGATTAATACAAAAGAAGTTTCTAGGGATGTCAGAGAATCATTTGTTCTTAAATCAAAAGCAAAATTAAGGATCGAACAGGTCTTAAAAAAATGTTAAATTCTTTATTCTCTCTTAATAAACTTATCTATTTATTAAAGATAAATTCTGTTACTAAAAGTGAGCTTGTTTTTCTACTGATCATATTTTACTCCTCCCAAAAGCTAGTTACAGCTAGCTAAATCTAGTACATCACATATGCCTCAATTATCACAAGACGAAAGGGAAAAAACCCTATGAAATATGAGATGCTTAAAATACATAAAGCATGATTAAACACTTTACAGCACTTTTGGATTAAATACTTATAAAGAGTGACTAAACATTTACAAAAAAATTACAGAATTAAAAAACACACACATATAGTTCTTTAAGTTCAATTGTTCTTTGTTTTTAAATTCTTGTTTCCAAAGAAAAGGAGACATGAATGTACATAGTGTTTCTTACCAGAAAAGCCAGGCACACCCATGCCCACATAAGATAGAACTAACTAGCTGAATACAAGGTCCTGGTTCAAGAATGCCAGAATGTAAATACACAGTTAATTTAGCTGTGGCCAGAAGGATGGGATAAATACTTTGAAAAATTCAAGCCTCCTACAATAACAGAGAAGGAAAGAACCACTAACCCAAGATCAATTTTGACTTGAAACTCCTAAATTTATCCTGGTGTTAAAGGAAAGATCTCCACTCTTTCGGTAAATAAATGCTACTTTATAACAACTTGCTGGAATTATGAAAGAAAAAAAAATCTGGTATTCCCAATCAAATAAAATAAGTGTTTCTGAAACATTAAAAATCACACATGGAGGATATTAGAGAAAACTCAATTTTTAAGGCTTTTCAGGCTTCATTGTAAAGTGACCAGAATAGAAAAGCTCTCATCTCCAACTGTCCGCTCTCCCCATAAGTATAAATTTTTCCCATTAGTTCCTCTATGAGTTCTATGGACCACATTATCAAAAGTGAAGTGCAAGGCAGCAGACCCCTACTCAGCTGTGTCATGGGAGCCCCCGTGGTTCTTCTATAGAACCTTCAGGGCCTCGTGGAGCCAGTTTGAAAACCACCACATTAGTATAAATAAGGATCAAACCTACCCCTTCTAAATCACTAGAGAAGAGAAAAATGTTAGTCAATTTTATTTATAAATCAGCAATATTAATGTATATATGCATTTATATAAGTACTACAAATGGCTCAAAATTACTAAAGGAAATGTATCAAATGTTTTATCTTGAATGCCATATTTTTCAGCATTCGCTGAATTTTTTTAAAAAAAGAGCAGGTATTACTTTCATAACAACAATAAAAACATTTAAAAAATTTTAAGCATGGATCTGTCAATATACCAAATTGCATGTTAAAAATACGTATTTAAAATATCCTGGTATATTTTCTAGTGGTATCTTTTAAATTCCAGATTAGGTATTTTTGAAATTTTTCTTGTAAGTACAAAAAAACTTTAGATGAATAGATTATAAAAGATACAAAATAAAAAAACCCAGGCTGTGAAATAGTTTTAAAATTCAAGAATACTAAGGCCCTGGCTGGGTTGCTTTATTGGTTAGAGCGTTGACTCCATACACCAAGATTGCAGGTTTTATCTTTGCTCAGGACACATACAAGAATCAACCCACCAATGCATATATAAGTGGGACAACAAATTGATGCCCCTCTCCTCTCCGCTCCCCCTTCCTTTTTCTCTCATTTTAAAATAACAATAATAAAAGAATATTAAAATTCTACAATATAAGATTTCCAATTTAAAGGCATTTACAGTGCTTAGAATGTAGGTTTGATCCTGCTTGCTACTCAGATTTCCTTGAATTAAAGGAAAATATCCATATGCTTATTATTTAACTTTGTTATTTGGCTATAGTAATTATCTCTATGATATGCACATATGCCAAATACACATAACATCAATCAGTGCTTATAAAATCTCCTATCACATTTTAATACTTACTCTTAACAAATCATCTATTCTTCCCTCCTTCTTCTCTAAGTCAGAATTCTTACTGTTTTCTAGTGCAGATATTTTTTCTATTGTGAGGTCAGACTATAGAGACAAAACAAAATTTAGAATTAGTCTCAAAATACTGCATGCCGTCACTCATTTTCTCATTACTTTTCTGGGGGGGAAAAGGCGCTTGCTAACAAATAGCCAAGAATCACATGGCTCAAGAAACTGAATCTCCTTTCTTCATCCCATTCTTTAAGTTTTATATTCTGTTACACCTGCACCTCAAAAACATATTAAAACTGGAATTAAATGTATGAATTCTTAAGATCTCTGTGCATTGAACAATAGAGAAACATACTACTTTAGAAATGAAACTGAGAGAAGACATGACCCAAGCACGCCACCTTGTGGAAATAATGAACAATTAGAAGGCGAGAGATCAAAGTTATTGGAATATTCAACTATCTTTCAATTGCCCAAAGGCTGGTAATTCAAATAAAATTAAAGTCTGCTTCTGAAGGTTGCATAGCTCGAGACTTTAGAAATGCTCCTAGATTGTCAAGCATCCTGCCCTGACTTGAAGGCAGCACAGTGCCAAGAAAACCTGGTATACTATTTGGCTAGTTCAATATTACAAAGTAGAAGACATATATCCACTACCCTTTGCAAATAATATCTTTGATTGTTCACAACATTCTAACTTAAAAAGTTTCTGAAGACTGTTTAAGGAGAAAAGTATGTTGGTGTGCCACATGTTAAAGAAGTTTATCTAGGTCTTGCCAAATGAACAGGTACACAGAATAAATTAACTCCTTTCATAAAGTAGTAAATTAACATTCATTGACGACTACCATGAGCACTGTCCTAATAAGCATTTTGTATATATTGTTTGAGATAATTAGAATCAACCACATTATACAGATGATTTGTACTCAAGAAAATTGAGGACTAAAAATATAATGTAAGGTGTAAAGACAGAATTTGAACTCAGGCCTAAACGTCTCCAAATGAGTGCTCTGTTCTCAACAGCTTGCTATAAAATAAGCGCTTCTGCTGCAACGTACCAGAAAGGAAAAGAAACACCTCAAGAAGTTAAAGCACCTTCCAAAAGACTTTAAGTACTCATAACGTAAGTTCTAAATAGAATAATAAAAATAATGAGGTAAAGTTAGAGAATTAAAGGGAAGACAAAGAGAGGACTCATAGACTTTATATGTGGTTAGCATTTATTCTTAAGCAGATCTTTTTCTCCTCTGTTTACCTATCGCCAACCTACCTGGGTCTGTCTGTGCTGGATGGAGATCTGTTTCTGGGAGCTGCAGGAATGCTCTGTGTTACCAGATCCTGTAGAAGAGGGACTGTTTTGCTGAGCCTGTAATAAAGGTATATTACCAATCACAAGAAAGTTTTGCACTTTTCTCCACAAACATTTGTATGAATGCAAATGATTAACTCTATATAAAAAATGAACTCTGATGAAAGGCAGAAGTCAGGGCCATGTAGCCACGAAGAAAGTAAAACAATTCAAATGAGAAGCAAGAGCCAGACATGATGGCTTGGACCATGTTCCTAGAAATAGTTTAAAATATCAAATGCTGCCTTAGCTGGTTTGGCTCAGTGGATAGAGCGTCAGCCTGAGGACTGAAGGGTCCAGGTTCAATTCCGGTCAAGGGCACATGCCCAGGTTGAAGGCTCAACCCCCAGTAGGGCGCATGCAGAAGGCAACCGATCAATGATTCACTCTCATCATTGATGTTTCTATCTCTCTCCTTTTCCTTTCCTCTCTGAAATCAATGAAGATATATTTTTTAAAAAAGCAAATGCTTATAAAAGTATTTTTTTAAATATGTAAATTAAAAGTTATTCCTGTTATAACAGGCCCCTTTCACTTGTATTTAAATATGCTTTTATCAGAAAAGGCTGGTGATGAAGCAAGGGGATGCTAGTAACTCCAGGCAGAAGGACTGGGAACTACTATTCAGAATACAGTAGTGCCCCTTATCCACAGTTTCAGTTACCTGTGGTCAACCATCGTCTGAAAATATTAAATGGAAATTTCAGAAATAAACAATTCATAAGTTTGAAATTGCACTCTGTTCTGAGCGATGTGAGGAAATCATGTGCTGTCCCGCTCAGGACGTGAATCATCCCTTTGTCCAGCGTATCCATACTGTATGCACTATGAACCGTTAGTCACTCAATAGCCATCTCACTGTCAAAGTACTACAGTGCTTGTATTCAAGTAACCCTTACCTTACTTAATAATGGCTTAAAAGAGCACAAATAGTGACACTCGCGATGCAGATGTGCCACCAAGTGTTTCCTGTATGTGAAAAGGTAGGTATGTATAGGTACTATTGATACCATCTGTAGTTCCAGGAATCTACTGGGGGTCCTGGAACAGATAAGGGGGGGACTATTGTAGTCTCCTAAGTCCCCAAACATTATCCATAAACACACACTGGCCCAAAATCCAAGTTAATTTCTAATAATATTACTTGCTGACAGTGACTTTTTAAAAATATATATTTTTATTTATTTCAGAGAGGAAGGGAAAGGGAGAGAGAGACAGAACCATCAATGATGAGAGAGAATCATTGATCAGCTGCCTCCTGCATGCCCTACACTGGGGATCGAGCCCACAACCTGGGTCCTGACTGGGAATTGACCGTGACCTCCTGGTTCATAGGTCAATGCTCAATCACTCAGCCATGCCAGCCAGGATGAGTGACTTTTATACACAATTTACAGGGCATTTCTAAAGCATTTTTATTTATTTTATTTTTTATTTTTAAAATATTTTTATTGATTTCAGAGAGGAAGCAAGGAGAGAGAGAGAGAGAAACATCAATGATGAGAGTGAATCATTGATCGGCTGCCTCCTGCACACCCCCCACTGGGCATCGAGCCCACAACCCGGACACGTGCCCTTGACTGGAATCAAACCCGGGACCCTTCAGTCTGCAGGATGACGTTCTATCCACTGAGCAAAACCACCTAGGGCTTCTAAGGCATTTTTAAATTTAGAAAGCTAATTTAGGATTTAATATTATTCAACTATTCAGGAATATACAATCATTATTATCCCAAAATTCCTTTTATAAACAAAATGACACCTAACAACACAGTACAACTCGTCACAGACATAATTAGGAAATATTGGATAGTGTGAGGATTAGATAATGTAGTGTTTTCCACAGGTGAATTTTTCTGATACTGTATATATTTATTTTTCCTTTTTTTTTAATCCTCACCCAATGATATGTTTACTGATTTTCGAGAGAAAGGAGATGTGCCTCTCTCACATTGATGTTTCCATCTCTCTCTCTCCCTCCCTCCCTTCCTCTGTCTCTAAAAATCAATGGAAAAAATATCCTTGGGTGAGGATTAACAAAAAAAGAGAAGAAGAAACTTAGATTATAACTGGAAATAATGAACCAGTAAGAGGAACACAAATTTTAACAAATGGTGGCTTCAGCTCTGAAAATTGTCCCTAAACATGGAAGCATAAGGCAATGGAGCTTTCTGTTGCTTTATACATCCTTGGTCACAAACACTTGGTAGGTCACAGAAACCAAGAAAGTAGAAATTTCTGAGTCAAATTGTATTATAATTTGGCAAATAGGTCAAACTTTCAAGTTCTTGTTCTTCAAGGAAGGAGAAAGAAGCAAGCTGAAAAGAGCAAACAGATAAATATTCCTGGAAAAAGTAAACATAACAACACTCAGAAGAGTAGAGAGAAGGCAAGCATGTCGGTCACCCAAATACCAGAGGTGAAACAGCTTGTAAGCATGCTACGGAACCCCTGACTACATGCTAAAATTTTACTGACTTGAATATTGCTTTAAATAAGTGATGGCTGCAGTTTGGAAATTTTACTTGTTATAAGTTCTTTGGTTGTTATGGAATTTGATCTATATCTTCTTTACTTTGTCAACGTAAGATCGCAGTTTTCTTCCCACAATGTGTTCAGACATTAACAGAACAGTTTTTTCTCTCAGCCCTTTGAACCCAGGGAGACTGAGAAGAAGCTCACCACTACCTCTAGAAGTGACAGTTAAAAAGGTCATCCTCTCTCTACCAAATAGTTATTCTAACTTCATCAAGGAGCTCCAGGACAACAAGGGTCTGCATAAACTCAGGCTCAGTACTCACTGAAACAAAAGTGAAGCAGAGGCCAGCTCCCCTCTGTGCCAGCTGCTCTGTGTCGAGCCGAGGTTTTGCTAGCATTACTGACATCAGGGTTGGCAGAGCAGACTGCTCCTCCGAGACCTCCTTTGCAGTGCTGCCATCTAAACCATAGAGGGGTTGTTCTACTCGTCGCTGGAAAACATTAAAAAACACACAAATTACATGAGAAAGAAAATCTGATATTGCCAAAACATGCAACAGATTAAAACAGTTACTGAATATAATAATGATTTAAAAAAACCAAATACCTCTGAAAACAAATATAGAGAGCATAATAACATTATTGGATTATAACCTAGCTATCAACCTGAATTAATATCTTACTCAAATTAAGCAAAACTACATTTTAATGGTTCTATATTTACTCAACTCTGAATTGGCAGGTTACTCTGTACAGTTCAATAAATCAACCTCATAATACCCTCAATCCTACAAAGGAAATGTTATTTCTATCCTGTAGGTAAATGAAGATTAAGGTATTTGTTCCCTACTTTACAGGTAGAACTTATTTCACTCTTAATCCTATTCTCAGCACACTATACTTAGATGCAAAAAACAGCTGAAATAAATATAAGCAAAGCAATCTCCATACTACACTAAAAGAATAACATACCACAATTATGTATGATTTATTCTAGAAATGTTAAGTATGGTTCATTAGCAAACCCACTACTGTAATTCATTACATTAATGTCAGAAGGAGAGGAATCAAGATCTTCCCTTCATAGATGACCCCCGCAAAAAAAGTCCACATTATTGGGCAACTCTTAAAAAAAAAAAAAAGACCTGGTGGCTCAATGATTGAGCATCAACTTATGAACCAGGAGGTCACAGTTCGATTCCCGGTCAGGGCACATGTCCAGGTTGCAGGCTCAATGCCCAGTGTGGGGTGTGCAGGAGGCAGCCAATCAATGATTCTCTCTCACCATTGATGTTTCTATCTCTCTCCCCTTCCTCTTTGAAATAAATAAAAATATATTTTAAAAAAACTACAAGTATCCATCTTTCATATAATGACGTATTTTTTTAGAAATTAACATACATAAACTTAATGGCTCTATAGTAGAAACACTATCATTAATGTTAGGAATTACATGGAATTAACACATTAATATCACAATCATTCAACATTTTTATAAAAGTTTTGGTCAATGTGATAAGGAAAAATGAGGTAAAAACACTGGAAAATAGTAAAGCATCATTAAAAAGTATCATTTTTGGATGATATAACTATTCACAAAGGAAACCAAGCCAACTGAAAAACAAAATAAGAGTTCAGTAAAATGGTCATATATAAAATAAATAGACAAAAATCAATAGCTTTCCCATATACCAACAACAATTGATTACAATCAGAATATGTAATGGAAGAAAAAGCAGACTTAAAATTTATGTAGAATACTCAGAAATACACTTAAGAAGTATGCAGATTATACATAAAGAAAAACTAGAGCCCAGGTGGTGTGGCTCAGTGGTTGAGCATAGACCTATAAATCAGGAGGTCACAGTTTGATCCCAGTGTCATGCCTGGGTTGCGGACTCAAGCCCCAGTGTGGGGCATGCAGGAAGCAGCCAATCAATAATTCTCTCTCATCACTGATGTTTTTATCTCTCCCTCTTCCTTCCTCTCTGAAATCAATAAAAATAATTTTTTAAATATATAAAATAAAAGAACAAAATAAATAAATAAATATATATATATATATATATATATATATATATATATATATACACATTTTTTTTTTCTTAAAAAAAGGAAAAACTAGAGCTTCACTGACAAACACAGAAGATTTTACCTAAATTAAATTGCAATATTATGCTTCTGGATTCAAATTTTACAGATGTCAAATTTCTCTAAAAACCAATGCTTAGGGCTTTTTCTTTCTTTTTAGTTTTTTCTTTTCCTATTTCACAAGAGAGTGTGGTGATGGTATAATTATCATCTGGGTTCCTTCTTACTCTCTTTTAGGGAGTTGATTTTTGTGGAACTTCACAAATGAATTCTAAGGTTCACTTAGAAAAATAATCAAAATTAGTCATATAATTTTTAATAAGGAATATCTGGGAAATTTGACTATTAAAACATATACAAAGCAACATTAACTAAATCAGTATAATACAGAAAATTCAGGAAGCAACCCATGTAATATGAATATATAATTAGTGATTAAAATATACTTCAAATTAGTGGGAACTTATTAAAAAGATTATAGGATACTTGCAGATATTAGAAAAAAGGAAAAGAAGGTTGCTTCCTTATCTATCTACTAGAGGCCTGGTGCATGAAATTCGTGCACTGGGGGAGGGGGGGGGGGGAGGGTTGTCCCTCAGCCCAGTTTACGCCCTCTCACAGTCCGGGACCCCTTGAGGGATGTAGCAGTGTGCCAAGCGTCAGGCAGTGAGGAAGAAGCCCAAATTGGGGCCGGACGTCCATCTGCTTGCGCTCACCCCAGCCCGCTGCACCTGCTGCCACCACTCGGTAGTGCTGCTGCGGAGTCAGGAGAGGCTCCCAACGTGGCAGCTGCGCTCACCAGCAGTGAGCCCGGCTTCTGGCTGAGCGGCACTCCACTGACCACCATGGGGGAGCTCCTGCATTGAGCGTCTAGCCCCTGGTGGTCAGTGCACATCATAACGACCAGTCGTTCTGCTGTAATGGTCGCTTAGGTTTATATTATATAGATTAGAGGCTCGATGCATGAAATTCATGCATGGGTAGGGTTCCTAGACCTGGCCGGCGATCAGGGCTGATCAGTGGGGCGACTGGTAGGGTGATCGGGGGCGCACCTGATGCACCCGCCTTGGCCAGGCTGACATTGGCCACACACCCTGCCGCTGCGGCCAGTGGCCTCCCTCTGCGGGGCAACTGATGGGGCGATCATGGGGGCCCCCACTGACACCCGCCTTGGCTGGCCTGGGGCCTGCAGGCTGGGGGCAGCTCCTGCATTGAGCATCTGCCCCCTGGTCGTCAGTGCGCATCATAACGACTGGTCATTCCACCATTTGGTAGATTTGCACATTAGGCTTTTATTATATAGGATGTATATAAAAGGCTAATATGCAAAGTGTCCCCACGGGAGTTCGACCAAGAGTTCTATTGCTCACTATGACATGCACTGACCACCAGGGGACGGTGCAGAAAAAGGAAGGCCCCGGCTGGTGGCCGGTGAAGGCAGGCCCCAGTCAGCAGCCGGGAGCTGGCAGGAAGGCCCTGGTCGGCAGCCGGAAGGCCCCGGCTGGCCCTGATTGCCGGCCAGGCCTAGGGGCCCCACCTGTGCATGAATTTCATGCACCAGGCCTCTAGTATCATATAAAGTTTATAAGAACATACAAACAAATTCTTTTATGACTTTCTAGTGGTGAAGGATATTTTAAACATGACATTAAAAATACAAACCATATAGGAACATCTAAGAATAATACAAAGACAATAAGTAATAAAGAAAAAGATACTGATAAATTTAACAACTTCAAATTTTTTGACTTCTGTATGGTGAAAGTCAACATAAACAAAGTTAAAAGACAAAATTACAAACAGGAAAAAATATTTACAATATTAATGATGAGTTAACAATTTTAATAAATAATGTACTCCTACCCATCAGTAAGAAAAAACAAGTACTCTGAGAAATAAATAGACAAAGGACCAGGACAAGCATTAAAAGAGAAATCCAAAGGCCATCGAATATATTAAAAAGTGCTTACTATCAGTAATTAAGAAATGCAAGTTACAACAAAGCATTTTTCTCACTGACAAAGATTATAATGATAAAATTCAGTATTAGAAGGATATGTAGAAACTAAGACTCTGAAACTGCTAATAAGCAGAAAAGTGAGCATATTCTTTGACTTGGGAATTATACTTTAGAAATTTATCAAAAGGAAAAAGATGTGTAAGTACAAAGATATGTATATACAAGGACATTCATTACAGTACTACTTATAGAATATAAAATGTTTATAGGATATTGGTTAAATAAATTAATTACAACTAAAATAAGAAAATCTATCACATGAACATACATGCTCTATAATAAAGAGCTAATATGCTAATTAGACCGGACTGCAGAACGACCTTCCAGAACGACCTTCAGGAATGACCAATGGGCGGGGCCGCGGGGCCATGAGGCAGCTGGGCTGCAAGGGTCAAGCCCCTTGCACAAATTTCGTGCATCGGGCCTCTAGTGTGTATACGTATATGGCCACTAAACTCTTTAATAATAGCGCTTTTGGAGGGGACTTTCTATTTTACCACTTCTGAATTGTTGGATTTTTAAAATATGTATATATCCCTTTATCAGGAAAAGCTATTTAACATTTTCATTTTAGAAAGTGAAAATAAAATAACCAAAATGATCCTGAAAAAGGAACTCTGAGTAGAGTCCACCTTGTTAAGACCAACACTCATAGCACAGCAAATGCAATGGTTTAAATTCAAGCTCCAGAACACTTGTGACACCCATTCATAACAATATTCTCACTAGTTGGATGAATGTATCTCCAAAGCCACAATACTCAAATTAATAATTCTATTATGTACTTAATAAGTATTTGCCAAGAGCTGATATGTAGTGGGGCCTTGACTTACGAGTTTAATTCGTTCTGTGATGGAGCTCGTAACTCAAATTACTCGTATGTCAAATCAATTGTGAACGAGGGAGACACGTGATGCTGGGCTGATGTTGTGGCATTCACTGTGACGTTCGCTGTGCCAACTAGCGGTGGGGTATCTGAAGCTGGCTCGTAACCCGAATTTTAGCTTGCAACTCAAAGCAAAAAATTGGCTGAGAGGCAGCTCGTATCTTGAAAAACTCGTTAGTTGGGACACTCGTAAGTCAAGGCCCCAATGAATTTAAAACTATATCTGGAAATAGATCAGGCTACGATATTTGAACCAAACACCTTCCCTTAGAAAACAGCACAAAGTATAAAAAAAAGATATTAAGACCATCAAAGACTTGATTAAAAAAAAGGGATCCACCAGTGTAAAATCTAAGGGAAATGAGAAACAAGACAAGTAAAAGAAGCACCAACGTCACATTTGCCCTAAGGGTACCTGCAAATCTCTTTAATTTCTATTTCTAGGGCATCCTAGTGCTAAGCAAAAGTCACAGACAAAAGCCCACCCTGTTCAA